ATAGCTATACAATTATTTTGGCTTTTTAGCTGAAAACGGCTGAGAGTGTAGAGAACAAAATATCCATTTAGAAATGGTCCTATCTCATAGGGAACGTTTCATCTGAACACCCAAGCCCCAAGTTTCTGTTTCTTCTCTAAAATACATCTTATTGAGATGATACATATACGTGGCCGGCATTTTGCATGTGGTTGTGAGACTAGATTCTACGGGTCCAAGTCAAAAATTAACTGACTCGAACCACAGTTCTTCAGTTATAGCGTCAAAGTTAAGCAAAGAACGATTAACTGAAGGAAACTGAAAGTTACAGTAAGTGACATATTTCAGCCGTTGTGCAAAGATGGTCTTTGCTACTTTCGTGACAAGCGTTAAAGAAGGATTTGTACACAATATCCCAATAGTGTGCCAGTTTTTAAACTTTTAACGCATGACTAACGCAAACCGAATGAATTTAAAGCTGGAGCGTTTTCAAATCCAAATCACATTTCATGTTATCTAACGTACATTCGTTTACGACGTTGACAGCCGAGGCAACCACCACTAGGTAACTGGCATAGCTTTCGAAGACTTGTAATACTCTATAATGCACATGTACTAAAATACGTTCTAAAAACAGCAATCATCGGTCTCTTATAGTTAAACATGCAAGCGTCTGACAATACTCGAGAAACAGCGAAGGATTCGGAATAAGCAAATCGTTCATGGTACAAGCCAAAATCAAATAGATGTAGAGTCCCACCGGCTTTTGTAGCCAAACAGGTTGATTATTGTGGACAGCGCCTGTGAGAAAACAGGAATCAACAGTACTGAGGAACTAACGTTCATCGTCTGGCTCATCAAGTGGGCGCAGCTCCCCAGTTCCTACATATCAAAAGTCATCCGTAAAAATGGCTTACGAATTGTACAAATAAACACCCATTTGCAAACAAGTTGTCGTTGTCTAGAGATTCTGATGAATCTTTTGTGATACCCCTCACCCAAATATGGTAATCGTTACCACACGATAAATTTGAGGTGGCTTTGGGCAGCAAATAGCAGCACTGACCGGAATGTCCGTGGTTCGAATCCACCCTGAGCATACAGAGTGTTCCTGCCTGGGCTTAAGTAACCCGGCTGTGCCTCAGCCCTCATGCTTCTTTCGGACGGCATTGCAGCTATGCAACCAAAAAGTTGTTACAGCAGCTCAGTTAAAATTTTCTGTGCAGCAAATTCGGTTAAAGCATATTGTAGGGGACAGAACCAGCTGAGATCCAATTAAGTCTCCCATTATTATAAACGTGATTTGCAAAGGAAAACACGCATGTCACATCGTTGTTAACCCACAAAGATTATGATTGCTAATTTTGAGAATATTTCGAATAAATTCGAGCTTTAAAATTCCATGGTCTGAACATACGGAATCATTAATCTTGTGCACTGACTTCGATTTGTAGTGCTTTGCGACAATTAAATATAGCAATCCTCAAAAGTCGCTGCTCTGCATGTCACAGTGCAATCGTTCTGGTCATTAAATCACATCCGCAAGTACACAAAATAGTCGAGGCCGTGAGACGCCTGTTTCATCACAGCTACGCGGAATTAACCAAATAATAACAAGCAGATTATCAGAAATGGAAATATGTCCGGCATACCGAACACACAGAAGTGAATAGACGAGAGTGTAAGCTGATTCGGCAATGGAAGGCTTTGGTTTTCCATTAGCTATACTTAAGTGCTTGCTCACTGTACACAATCCCACGTTCTTTTGTGCCAGTTTGACTGACACCGCATTAGACATAGTTTAATGGCTTCAGATTACGTTGAGGATCGTAAACGCATCCCACGGGTCAACTGAAAATATAGCAAGTCGACCGTGGGGCCACCCCTGAGAAAGTATACAAGTGATCGCCCTTGAATGGAAACCCTTCTCCGGGGTGACACATTGAAGCTTGGCGGGAAGGAAATTGTCGCTTTGACTCTCTACGGGCTGTCGCGTCTGACAATACTCGAGAAACAGCGAAGGATTCGGAATAAGCAAATCGTTCATGGTACAAGCCAAAATCAAATAGATGTAGAGTCCCACCGGCTTTTGTAGCCAAACAGGTTGATTATTGTGGACAGCGCCTGTGAGAAAACAGGAATCAACAGTACTGAGGAACTAACGTTCATCGTCTGGCTCATCAAGTGGGCGCAGCTCCCCAGTTCCTACATATCAAAAGTCATCCGTAAAAATGGCTTACGAATTGTACAAATAAACACCCATTTGCAAACAAGTTGTCGTTGTCTAGAGATTCTGATGAATCTTTTGTGATACCCCTCACCCAAATATGGTAATCGTTACCACACGATAAATTTGAGGTGGCTTTGGGCAGCAAATAGCAGCACTGACCGGAATGTCCGTGGTTCGAATCCACCCTGAGCATACAGTGTTCCTGCCTGGGCTTAAGTAACCCGGCTGTGCCTCAGCCCTCATGCTTCTTTCGGACGGCATTGCAGCTATGCAACCAAAAAGTTGTTACAGCAGCTCAGTTAAAATTTTCTGTGCAGCAAATTCGGTTAAAGCATATTGTAGGGGACAGAACCAGCTGAGATCCAATTAAGTCTCCCATTATTATAAACGTGATTTGCAAAGGAAAACACGCATGTCACATCGTTGTTAACCCACAAAGATTATGATTGCTAATTTTGAGAATATTTCGAATAAATTCGAGCTTTAAAATTCCATGGTCTGAACATACGGAATCATTAATCTTGTGCACTGACTTCGATTTGTAGTGCTTTGCGACAATTAAATATAGCAATCCTCAAAAGTCGCTGCTCTGCATGTCACAGTGCAATCGTTCTGGTCATTAAATCACATCCGCAAGTACACAAAATAGTCGAGGCCGTGAGACGCCTGTTTCATCACAGCTACGCGGAATTAACCAAATAATAACAAGCAGATTATCAGAAATGGAAATATGTCCGGCATACCGAACACACAGAAGTGAATAGACGAGAGTGTAAGCTGATTCGGCAATGGAAGGCTTTGGTTTTCCATTAGCTATACTTAAGTGCTTGCTCACTGTACACAATCCCACGTTCTTTTGTGCCAGTTTGACTGACACCGCATTAGACATAGTTTAATGGCTTCAGATTACGTTGAGGATCGTAAACGCATCCCACGGGTCAACTGAAAATATAGCAAGTCGACCGTGGGGCCACCCCTGAGAAAGTATACAAGTGATCGCCCTTGAATGGAAACCCTTCTCCGGGGTGACACATTGAAGCTTGGCGGGAAGGAAATTGTCGCTTTGACTCTCTACGGGCTGTCAATCCATTACGAGCAGTCTCTAACTGTTGATTATGAGGTTATGATGTCCATATAGAGAATTATACTATTTGAGTAATCGAACTGTTAAGGAGAGGTTTACCTTACTTCAAAATATGGTGCCTATTGAAGGCGCAGTTTCAAACAACTGAATGACAATTACGTTTCTGAAGATTAAAATAGCAGTATCTTGGTTGATGGAAGGATAGACAGTTGGCCGATTCGCTCTTGCATCTCATATTGCATCGACATCAATTTGCGTGTTACGGTTAATTTGAACGTTTAAGGTGACCGTCCGATGAAACGCTAGAATTTACGACTTCCTTTGTTGGAAGCATGCAACTGGAAGTCCGATAGTTCTGAAAGAGTGAGCAGGGTTGGGGCGGATTTCATTTAGCATTTGTGCGCGAAGTTTTAAATCCTCTCAGCCACTCTACTGAACTAAAATTAAACAAAACGTCTTACGGAAACTTGGTGAAAATTGTACCCTAGCATTTAGCGCAGGGCAATTTGAAGGGTAATTCACAGTCGCGTGACCACAATATGTCGCAAGAACCCACAGAGGAATAAAAAACTACAGCACCTAACTTCACGCAAATAATCTGAAGTGGGACCAAACGTAAGATGATGATGAATATATCCCCCTCTATCAAAGTATTTTCATCAACCACGTATCACTGAGTTGTCTTCGGCATTAGTTGGTTTCCTGAAAGCCATTTTTAACAGCCCGAAAATAAGGAATCTGTTCAACAAATACAATTTGTATGTCTTAGATTGTGCGGTGATGACTTCTGACAAATTAGAAGAGGAAACACTTCAATGCATGCGATAATCTCATGGATAATTACGTTGACACTAAACTACTGGATGCAGTTGGAGGAGCATAAGGTTGACGGAAACTCGGAGACTGCGCCCAGCTGACGAGCTCCAAGAAGGGATAAACCGGTCATGGGCTGTCGAAGAGTCTTCAGCAACCTTGTGAGTAGTTTTCTCTACTAATCCCCTATTTTATGGATGTCCCACTGAAGTTTGTTCAACCGGTACGAATGATTCTTACTGGTGTGATATAGCTGTGCGATGTGTTAGGGTATCTGTCCTAACAAGCATCGTTTGTCGACTTTGCTCTCTTCGGATAGCCACTGCCACTCGGGTCAATTATGTCACAGCAATCAACCGAGAGTCGAGAGCGTCTTGCATTGGCTGAGCTTATGTGTTCTAATTAACCTCCGATAGCCGAGCTGAATTTCACCATTTTCGCTGAACGTAGCGCCATGCGATATCCGAGTTAGTTACAAGCAATCTGTTAAAATAATGCCACGGGCGCGTCATATAGAAAGACCGGTTGGCATATATGAGGTCACTTTGTATGAGGCATAATATTTTACGAATCGAAGAACGTGACGAAATCTCGAACCATGGAAATGTGAAGTGTCACACAGGAAGAAATGTGGACGTAGCCCCACAAGCCAATATACATCCGATAGAGTTACCTGGAGCTTCAAATTTAGTCATACCTCAAAAGCAAAAGGACAACTTCTTGGGGCTCATCAGGAAGGCGAATCCCCCGAGTTTTCGTCAACTCTATGTTCTACTCGAATCCAAACTCAAAGAAATTAGCGAAATACACCAATTTGCAAACTAATTTGGTTTTGCGAGAGACTCACCTAGAACCCAGCTGAATCACTTGTTTATGATGTTTTCAGGCAACTGAATGTGCTGCACCAGGCCGCCTCATGTTTCAGTCGCTACGATACTCGAGATATCGCGACACATGCATAGACTTTGTCTGGAAACACCACAAACGAAAGATTCAGATTCCGATTCCGATGAGTTTCCCGCAAAACCAAATTTGTTCGCAAATGAGTGTATTTCGCAAAAGAGTAGCTCTCTATTTAGAATTCTACGCTAAATATAACTGGAATTTTCTAGGCTTACATATAATCATGTTTCCATGCGACCACTGTTCTAATATGTCATTCACTTTATGCATATAAATCGAACACTGTGTCAATTTAGACTTGGTTCCCAAAGCAACAATCCCACCTAGCGCTGTGGTATTTTGTTTCCTAGACTGGGTCGCTCTAGATGAGGAGAGCTGTGTTGCCAACGGCGAGCATTATGCTGAGTGTTCATACGCAAAGTCACCTGTATGTCTACCCATCAAACGTGAATAAAATGAAAATAACACGAAAATCCACGCGTAAAGCATATCCATACATACACACACAACTGGATGTCAAACTCATGTCAAACGTTTACACTGAAATTTCTAACCGAGGTAGTAACAGCCGATCGGTCTGGCGCATTTTACAAGTGTTTGTCGATGACAGGTGGCCAGGCAGCTGGGAGGTCTGTGACAGCTGTTTGTGTGTCCTTTTCGCTGGATACCTTCGTTTGCTGGATGTCAGTTCTGTTGTTGACAAGTGTGCACTCGTGACATGAATTGAAAGTTGGAAAGGAGTAATTTCTTACCAATGAATTTCGACGGACGAAAATGCTAACGAATACATAATTTGAAAACTTCTGAATGGAAGCAATCGCTCGAGCTCGTTGAGATACTATCATACTTGAGAACACTGGACAGAAGGTTAGCTGTGTGGCAGTGATTGCAAATCTAGTATCCAAATGAAAAATGCACATCAAGCGGGAAGAGGCCTCATTTCGTGAATAAAAAGCCTTTGGAAGCCAAATGTGCCGTCTAATTCTAGCCGGCGGAAGGAATGTCTGAGCCTTGAACTATTAATGAGTATGCCAATGAGGCCTCGATTCGAAGATATTATCAATTGCCTTCCTACCAACATTCCGAATCGCGTGGCTAAAAAGCTTTCCTGTGGGAAGTGCTTATGCCTGATGGTCCGTTCGGTAGTGATGTAGCTTAGCTCAATGTGTGCTTCTTCATAATGGTAAACACAAGATAGTTTCGAGTTATATCCGGCTCTATGTAAGTTTTGAAATTTCCCACCACAGTGGGCGTAGGAGACATCGGACTAGAGAAAGCCTATGGCTGTCAAGCGCTTCGCAAGGTGACTACACAAACGAGCAATGATCATACTAATTTCAACGAATTATCCTCGAACCAATCGGTCGAACACAGCACAACTGAAAGCAACCAGGGGCCACAATTAGGGAATGAGTGAGATGTACTTGTTTTGTTCAGTGTTGCAGGCATATTATTTGGGGACTCTGAACAAACACTGGTTGACGGTAGCCGGTGCCAGGCCCAGTAAGGAACGAACCAATCACAATAGAATATTCTTGAGGTCAATGGAGTGCTAGTAAAGGAGAGCGATTACCTGCATACAAAAGAAGCCTAAAATCCCTACATAAGTAAACTGGATTTTTCCTGAGTGAGAACTCTTACCTCTGCCCAGTTCCTGGATGTACAAAAGACTGTTCTTAACTTGTATGGCGTTGGTTGTACCCTAGGTTCTATTTCCTGACTCATTTGCACTGCCATTTTTAGGGCTAGACGTTTACAACATGCCCTTCGTCGTCAGCAGCGTTGTTCCCAAAAGGAGAATGTTCATTGCCTGAACAGACATTTCACTACCTACACACTTTCCCATTGAGGAGTGCAGCCTCATAATCTTAGCTGTACACCAGAAAACGGAACCGATCTAGCCCACGTGATCCTCGGAGCAATCAATACCAACCATCCCATCAGAGTGACTCACCTTCTGAGGAATTCCTACTGGGAAAGTATACTCTTTGGCTATCCCGGTATAGGACCATCCGCATTTTGTAGCCCAAAATCGACGACCAACTTCAAGCAAAATTTCAGTTGTGCTGGCAACGAGTACGGGCTAATGAAATGGACAACAGCTTTGCGTCAGTATGACTACCAAGGAAACCCTCAACACCTCCAAGAGTAAAATGTCACAAAGCCTGTATGCTTGGATGATGGACTTGTTTGATCCTGAAAGTATGCGCACATTTTGGTGAAGCCATCAGTCATTTACTTCATTGATTTTACTAAAGAATGATTCATATGGCTTACCTAGAACATTGTAAAGGCAACATCAACGAGTTCATTGTACACCTCCAGGGATAGGTGGAAAGTAAGGATCACCCATCTGGTTTTTGTGAAAGCTTGTAGAGGTAACTTTGGAGTGACGTAACGATTTACTCATACAGTAATCACGGAATTCATCGAGTTGGCCGACCATAGCCGTTCAAGCAGTAAAAACAGCTGTTGAGTTGCTGCAAGGTAGTCATCCATCGGCGTGACCAGATAGACACTTTTCGATCAACGGGAACATAACCAACCGTAGCCGAGGACCCATAAATAAGCAAAAGCAGAGCACTCCACTCTTACACAGATGACGTTCAGCAAACAAAACTTATTAGGAAATTGGGTACTGTCCAAAGAGCCATGAATTGTAATGAACGTGAACACAAAATTCTCCATACGTTGGCATCTATCTTCAAATTTCGTGAGCGCTAGCCCTGGAACTAAGGGGAATTTGGTTCAATGGGTTGAGTAGAGCCAGCCCGTCCTACGAAGCGTATGCAACCGCGAAAAACCATTAAATCTTACAAGGGACTACAACTGGTTGGTACCTTAAAAGCTACCCTGACAGATAACTGACCCCAGTTCCATAGAAATGACATTTTCTGCTTCCTCCTTCAACAGAGAACAGTAGACAGTGTCGCGAAGGCAGCTTTACATTACGAACTAGAAGGTCGCACTAAAATCAATTGAAGATGATCAACCAGAAGGAACTGCAGTTTTCGAAATCAGCGGGGTGCACCTAACAAATCTGCACTCACAATCTTCCGGTTACTGACTGAACACCATGACACTTGGTCACATGCGGCTCATCAGTATTGCGTTCTTTTCCTACTGACTAGATGCTTGAGTATCGGCTTCGCAGCGGGGACATCCACGAGATTACCCATGGCTTGCGGATGAGGAGGCGGATTCAAAGTTCCATATGAAACCTTATAATGCAAATGAGGTTTGACAAGTGGTCACTGGAAAATTAGTCTACAGTAGATCACATGACATGAACTGTGTTGCTAAGTTTTACTCGGGCAATGAGAGTACGATTCATTCTCATGATTCCTAAAAAGAACGAAATGGTGACACATTGTTCGCGGCACTTCGGTATACACTAACCTCACCTGCACAACATAATCTGTGCAATTTGCTGGACAATTTTATCCCGGCATGTAAGGTAATTTTACACTACAGATACCTCTAATCTTTTGTACTTCAACCAAAGCCCGATTTCGACAGAATATGGCAGAGTTAACCCAACCGATCAGTAGCTGCGAATAACTTGTTCAAGCACACTTGTAGAAATTTTGCGTGGAAAACCTGATGAAAAGGCATTGTAGCGATTGTTAACCGTACTGTGAGCTAGCTGAATGTGTCAACTGCCACAACCACGTACAGAAAACTACCACAGAGTTTCTGTATTTTTCCTATAGTTGTGACGTCTTTGCGGAACTTCACTCCTCCTCCTTGTTCCGCTTTAATGCTCAAGATCAAAGCCTTGAATGGATGACGCAAAAGAAATTTCCCCAACCTAGTATAGCTATCAAAATTCAAAGAGAATTTTGAACACTCCGTTAGTTTCACGAACAACGGGAACATCGAAATTTTAAGAGACAAGCATGCCAATCGATAAATGGATGAAAGTCACCGTCAGAGGATGCTGAATTTGAAGGCCTTGGATCCGCGCACTTTTTTTAAGACGCCATGTCTCGAAAAAAATCCGTACAACTCGACAACAACCTCAGCGTCTCGACACAAGCCTGGAGATAACTCGATGTCACAAGTGGTGACCAAAAGCAGGCACGAAACCGGGAGAGTTACACACCTCCAAATTCTGGGTTTGATATGGAGTCATCGTCAGAGCTCCATCGAGACGCTTCGAGATTCAGTCCGATCATTTAAAAGATTCTCTTGAAAAATTTTATTAGGGGAATTCCGTGACATCTTGAAAATGGAACCGATAGTACAGGTGCCATGTATGAAATGACGTAGTTCAGCTCACAGAAGAAAACCAAACTGGATGTTAATAATAAAAGGAGTTGATAGTAGCTTGGTAAACATGCGAATACACCACTCAAAACTGAAGTGCGTTAACGAACTTTTTAGCAGCGTTTATACGATCCATAAGGAGTAGCTGAACTCGCCCAAGGGTAAGTGGCTAAATTTAGTGACTGAAGGACATCGCCCCAGAAAGGGATTGTTTGATGCGAACCATTCAGAATACACCAGCGGAACCATTGTGGGGCGACTTAGACATCATATATATCAGCCACAAGGTGGACATTATATATGCACTCCCCAACTTTTACGGCCGTGGGTAGCTCCAGCTGTATTTCCATCTGTGTGCCTTCATGACGATAGTGAATTCAGTGTTCAATTCAGACACTACTCTCTTTCGCAGTTGTTGGGGTACTTCTATTCGGGAACGAAAGAGCTGTGAATGCAACTTCAATCATCGAACGAAATTTCACACTCGGTACATTCCGGCGTCCAGCCAGCTGCCATTTTCCTCGTTAGTGACCATTTGCGAGTCAAGTTGCCCTAACTTGGATAACTCTGCTTTAGCTTTCAACCCCAATCTACTCACAGTTGAGTGGGCATGCTGAAGAGTACTCCTCTCCTCCAAACACCTACCAGTAAGCACACCGGTAGTAATTGAAATGAGGTAGTTATTAGTTATGTACTACTCATAAGGTTGCTGAAAATCCATCGACAGCCCACAACCGGTTTCGCCCTTCTTGGGGCTCATCAGGTAGGCGCAGTCCCCGGGTTTCCGTCAACCTTATGTTCTACTTGAAACAGACTCTATGGATCACCCAACAGCAGGTACCTGTGGGAGCACCTTGGTTAAAACGGTGCTGTGCGACACTCAAAACAATGAGTCAACGTATCATCTTTGCCATATAATCATAAGCCACGATGGCAAGTGACGTCGTGTCAGTGCAAGTGTTGGATAAGGATAAGGAGATCGACTATTTTGCGACCCCAGGGTTTGTGGAAAGCAGTGGCCACTTCAAACAGAGTGAACAAGGCGTGAAACTTGTTGCCTTGTTTCGATGATTCAGCCAGGCGTGAATAGTTGTGTTGTTTGTCATGAACATGTCATATGCCATCACGCTAGATCCGATTCTGACCAAGCCACCGGTTTAGAATTCGACTGGTTGCGCTTGGTAAAGACGTAGATAGTCAAAGCTTCACACCTCTCAGACGAAGCCACCAACCGCTTAAAGCTGGTGCGGGCGAACGCGTGCGTCTACGCTGACGGCTGGTCAAGAGGAAATGTGATTGATCCCATTTAAACCCACCTGATGACCTCTATGTGACGAGACTTTTCGGGAACCGGCCACAACTTCACCACAGATACAAATCGATTACACTCTATTTCTCAGCAAGCTGTCGGATTCACAAAATAATTCAGTGCATGGTAACATGTAAGATAACCACACCATTTATACTACCTCTGCGCAAAAATGCGACCAGCAGCCGCTTGATTTCGGGACACTCTGCCCTGGCTGAGAAGCAAATGCCAGTCAGTTGATTCTTACAACTTCGTCTGACGAATGTTGAGATGGAACATCAAACCTTGTGAGCATTCTTGAGTTCTCGGTTCACAAGCGCTACAGACTCGTCTCCCAATATATGTTCTGTGAAGAGCAAGTCCAAAACACACCGAATGTCATGCACATTCCAAATCTCCGGTACTAGTGCTCGACAGCACATAAAAGACAAACCACAATTTGGTTTGAAAAAACAGCAGACACATGAAATACCTGCCAAGACAGCTTCACGATATCTCACGAGCACTAACCCTCCTACTATGGTTTCCAAAAACGTGCATTTCTCAATTTGTGTGACTTGGATAAAGTCGCTCTACAGTGACGAAGAGTGACATCAGCTAGGAGCGAGGGATAAAAAAATGGGTACTATAAAGCATTGTAAGGCATAAAACTTCATTCTGTACATTTGTTAACATTAGCAAACATGATATTCTCCAGCAAGCCGCTGAATTTTAGAGTACGTTGTTGACAAGCAAAGGATGTAGACAGTTTTTCTACGGGATAGGACACACCCTACTTCAACCTACTCTAAACATATCGCCAAAGTCTTCGCAACAGACTTCTTCGATCGGTTTCGTAATGCAGGCACAATGGGTATTTGGGCAACCGACCCACACGAAACATCTCACTCTAAAAAAGAGCTGCCAAGGCTGCTCCACTGTTCGCTCAAACCAGGTGAATAAAAGCCGTGCTACCCAAAGACGATGAAAAGCCCAGACATTTGGGCAGAGAAATGCAAAAGGGTCTGTTGATTAAAAGAGGCATGAAAGATACCAGTGAAAAAGTGACGGAAGCAAGGATGTCATACTTACAGGAGCAAAATAGAGAACAGGAAGGAAAGTAACTATGAATAGTGGGAACTTCGTCGGGGTCACCTAACAGTACCAACGATGACCGGTTGTAAGTGGCAGAAATGCACAGCGATCGTAATAATGCGACAACGGAACGATAAGACCAGAGAACGAATTAACACGAAAACTGAGTACAAGGAGATTTGAATAAGAGGGTTCAAAGGAGGCAAATTATCAAACTGTGTAGTAGTAGTAGTAGTTGCAGCTGAAAAGAAAGGAACGAAAATCAGTCACTGCATGTAAACCCAAATTATATGGATGCATTGGGTAACGTACGTTGAAAGTATGCCAAGCTGACAAGTGTAAAATGAAGCCTCAGGACAAGTGAAGAACAAGTATTTGAGCTACCTCACATCAGCACCCTGTCCTGCCACCAACAATAAGGAAACACAGGAATCCGACTCGTATTCTAACTGAAGCTTCAGAAGTCGCCGAATAACAAGGAAATCCGGCTGCTTTTGGTCGTAGCGGGGGCATCAAAGTGCCACAATAGTCAACTTAGCAACCATATGGACGTTCAACTGAGGCTCACTCCATGTCAGAGCAGAAGTGCGATGAAAGCACTCCGCTCACAGGGCGGAATGAGAGGCCAATGTCACAATTAACCCATCGATTTCGTCAGGCTGCAGTGATATCTTGAGCAGTCCAACTGGACAAGCGTCTACGACGCATGAAATATGGACTGCATCTACAGTGGACAGCACAAAACCCAAGGCTATTTTATATAAGTAATTCCGCCCCTCAGGTCATACAAGTTTTTAACATCCCTCATCAACGGTTAGAGCACGAAATTACTGACCGGAAAGTCCGTGGTTCGGACTCGACCTCTGCCTCTTGACTTCTCTTGTCTACGCTTGGGCAACCTGGCAGTATCCCAATCCTCGTATTTCCTTTGGGTGGCACGTCAGCCAGGCACCAAAATGGTGTTACAGCTGAACGGGCATTTTATGGTCTTATGATCAGTAACACGTTTTAGCTTTCCTGTGCTGATACTTACGGTTTTACCTAGACAGTTGTGGATGGCACATGGTGGCTTGCCACATAAGTACACTTAAATGACATGATCATATTCTGAGTAATTATCGTAAAGCACTTGATAACTAGATGGCTGTTCCTAGCACCTCATTCTGTTGCATCCCATAAGTTTTTTTTAAAGAAGACTATCCTTGAGTTTGTTAAAATCACTTACCCTGGGAAGCTGTAGCGTATTGGAATAGAACTACTGTGCTCTACTTCGACAGATTGAACGAGAGTACATTACTTTTTTTCACAGAGAAACTTCACCCAAACCTACTTGTAACGTCCACATAAAATCATTCAGTGGAATTGAGCGGTTGGCTTGACGGGAAGGCCGCATCTTGAGACAGTTTTTCTGTGGTCAAATGAAGAATGAAGTCCGGACTTAGATACGCCAGCAGGTATATCACAACCCTGAGACACTTGGGGAAGGTTTTATGCATTGTGGCTTCCGTTTTGGAACAAAGGAGAAAATGGAGGTCGAAGAAGAGACGGAGAAAAGGCTATCTGCTCAGGGACTAAAGGTTTTGAGAAATGATCTCTTAAATGCTCCTCAGCACAGCCGTGAATATATGGACCTGCGCGAAATGCGGACGTGTATACCCTAACTGGGTCAGCCTTGTGTCCACTAAAACGGGGTAACTGATCAGAAGTAATTCTATTCTATTTGCTGGGCAACTCTCCAAAACACTTCCAACCTGCCGTCGACCACATGGTTTACGAAAAACCGTTCGTGAGGGGACTAGGTGACGTTGGCAGTGTATAATAGGGGGAGAAGCGTGGTATGCCGTTGTAACTTGGCGGGGACGGCAGCTGTATGATGCTCACCAAGTAACGGGTAACGAGGCTTATTGTCATACCAACACGTCAAGACCAACGGTCGGCTTGAGATAAGCCTATTCATGATCTTACTGTCTGGAGTTTACTTCTGTACCGACAACTTGCACATGACAACACAACCACTTGTGGCTGTCCAGTTGTGAGCAGACAACCTGGTCCAACTACTGCTAACCGGCAAATGCACTCCACATACCAGTCTCACAGGCCGATAAATTTGTATGCCTCTTACCAATTTCACATAAGGAGAACAATGCTATTTTATTTAACCCCAGACTTACCGAAACACAACAACTTGTGGAACAAAAAATCGAAACTGACACATTTTCGCCGAATCATAGCTCACCTATCTGGATTCGGACAAACTGGAAGTGGGTATGGTCAAAGTATCTGAACTAGATGAGACCGGATGGAATCCTACTACACTGGAGGGGGAGAACTCTCCAAGATGTGTAGCTGCTGTCGGGGCTTGTGGGCTGGAAGGATGAAGGACGACAGCCGCGTGTGCCGAAGAATCAGAATCACAGAGACTCGCGGGCAGCTGGTCGACTGTAGAGAGATTAGTAAATCCGTAGAGAGACGAAGAAACCTCAAATGGGGTTGCAGTATCAGTGGTAACAGCGACTGAGACATGGGGTGGATCAGATTCGGTAGGAACTTGACTTGTTATTGATACAGGTCGCAAAGGAATGGTTTGTTGACTCGATGCTGCTGTATGGGGACCATAGGGGGTAACCGGCAAATGCACTCCACATACCAGTCTCACAGGCCGATAAATTTGTATGCCTCTTACCAATTTCACATAAGGAGAACCCCTCAATGCTATTTAACCCCAGACTTACCGAAACACAACAACTTGTGGAACAAAAAATCGAAACTGACACATTTTCGCCGAATCATAGCTCACCTATCTGGATTCGAACAAACTGGAAGTGGGTATGGTCAAAGTATCTGAACTAGATGAGACCGGATGGAATCCTACTACACTGGAGGGGGAGAACTCTCCAAGATGTGTAGCTGCTGTCGGGGCTTGTGGGCTGGAAGGATGAAGGACGACAGCCGCGTGTGCCGAAGAATCAGAATCACAGAGACTCGCGGGCAGCTGGTCGACTGTAGAGAGATTAGTAAATCCGTAGAGAGACGAAGAAACCTCAAATGGGGTTGCAGTATCAGTGGTAACAGCGACTGAGACATGGGGTGGATCAGATTCGGTAGGAACTTGACTTGTTATTGATACAGGTCGCAAAGGAATGGTTTGTTGACTCGATGCTGCTGTATGGGGACCATAGGGGGTACCGACAACCTCACAAGACGGTATATTCATTTGACTTCCAACTTGAACAGTTTCTTTGAAAGCTGGCGAAGAGTACGTTTGTATCAAATTCACCAGTTCAGACGTTGCTGGTGGGAACTGAAAGTTCATCTGACTGGTAATCAGACTTGTTACTGCATCCAAAGAGGAAAGTGACTGGAACCCGCCAGATATTGGCTGTATGTTTGGAACGCGCTTCTTTGGGTCGCCAATATCCGTACCAAAGAAGTTTGAAGGAAGCGTGGCTCTAGGGCTTCGAACGCCTGGAATAGGAAGGTTGCTACCGTCTTTGATAGGTTTGATAGATTTTCGTTCACTGCTACTTAATGCACTGGCAGCAGCAGCAGTTGCAGTTGCCACAGCATGAGCATCAGCTGCGGCGCTTCGAGCGTTCAATCCGCTGGTGGAGCTGCCGACAACAGAAGATACAGGGACAGTAACTGATGTGTGAGAACGATAGCTGCTGGAGTGGGGGAGTATAAAGGACCCAGAACTGCCATTTTCTGCATTGCCCAACGTCATACCCGATACGAGATCATTCGAGCCAGTTTCTGCCGCAACAATCATGGCGGTAAGTGCGGTCACTGGACGATGGGACGCGGTAGTGTGGCTCGGATTGGCATTCGAAGATAATCCAGTCAAGAGTAAATTACTTGGTTTAGGTCTGACACTACCTTGAGGACCGCTGGTAGTTCCAGATTCAGGGCGATCTACATCATACGGGAAAATATTGGCCTGGACTGGTGCGGTCAGCGACGCAGACGATAAAATGCCCTTATATGTTTGTGGATGACATGGTAGTAATGTTTCAGAAAACTTTGTGACGTGTAGCTGAGTACTATTAACCTGGGGACGAGATACCAACGACCCTGATTCTCCCGTAAGCTGTGGACGATGAGGTGTGACATAGTGATCCAACGGTATGCTCGAGTCAGTGTTCGAGTCCGTGAGCAGATGCTGGAGGCTAGTGCTAGCTGCATGATGTCCGACAAACGATCTAGGAAGAGAGGCTCCCATAGTCTGCCCACGACCAGCACCCAGATTCATCGGTCCCCTGTGAAGACCGTAATCGGGCAAGGTGGTCGAAGCTGTTGGATGGTGAGTTTCTTGTCTGAGGGGAGGATATTCTTCGACGTGCGCAGTTGAACTCGGTATAATGGGTTGAACAGACCGTTTGAAATTTTCTTGATCGCTATGCACTAATGACATTACAGGGGTTGTCGATGTGGAACTCAGACAGGCAATAAATGGTGGTTCTGGAACCTTAGGTGTGACCCTGCCAGATGGGTGGTCAATTTTGATACTATGACTACTATCACGCCTGTGTGATGACGGTTGTGCATTTTCCGTTTGATCGACTCCTAAACGAGGTGTCAGTGGAGTATTTGGAGTCATCAGAGGCGGAGAACCGTTACCAGCAAGCGCTGCCTCGGCCGCTGCAACAGCTGCTTTTAAACTAGTTTGTAGTGTATTTACATATTGGATCTGGTAGGATTCGTAGTCGAGTTCTTGACGAAGGACACCGCTGAGCACGAATTCCTCGTGATGGACGGCTGTCGAAGAACAAAACAAGATGGATTGATTCGTAATTAGGAAGCAGTTTCCGAAACTAACCCTAATGAAATCTGACCCGTCATAAAAAATATTAGGCCAACTAGAAAGCGAATCATACGCTGGCAGGATGGATATCGTGATAAAAAAAAATGACAAACAATGCTTTACGTGTGTAATGTGCAACGACCCATGTGCGGTTTGAATGGCGCAGAGCTCTGTTACCAAGTGTGATGTTCCAGACGGGGAATAAACACCGATATCTCCGTCACGGTTCGTAATAGGTTCTTACATACATTTACTTAACCAGCACAGAATTTGGGGATCCGATATAGACTTTTTGCAAACGGATTTTTACAACAGAACTAATACAAGCATACGGAGGTGGATCTCAACCAGGGGGATATCCACCTACGGGGAATTTTGAGGGTTCGGGAAGGAGTGAAGCACTGATTCGTAAAATGCGAATCCTGTAACGCTACACATATTCGTTCGTCCGATGATGTTTCGTATGTCATAACTGCGTCCCCAATTATCTGGCAGTTGGTTGTACCACATGGTGAACCTACGATTCTTTGAAAGTTCGGTGAAATTATGCCGACTTAGTCTGTCGCATTACCTATCCCATTACAATGGTAAATACTTCGCTTTCGTAGAGAATAGTTACCATTCATTTAACCTTTTCTCCAGGTGCATACCCGTTGAAAATGGCGACGAAGAGAGGTGCAAGTGATAGGGAGGGTTCTGCACCAGTCGTTTTTACGGTACTAATTCTTCAGCACGACCGCGTGATACGCATGGCTAATGAAGTGCCAGCGCATTGGTCCGATACGGTCCTTCTGCAAAATGGCCCACTCTTAACAAGACCATGATGAAGAAAGGTACTTTTAAACCTAGAAGTGTTGAAAGTCACGGTAAACGTAGTGTCTGACGGTAAAAGCTAATGAAACGGATAAATGGATAGAGTGAGATTGCAATCATTTGTTACAAACCGCATACGAGTGGGACGGTGCTCCTACATGTCACATGATTTCCGTCTTCCTTTGTGAGTTGGACACAGTTACCTGGTTTCTTTGAAAACGTAGGTCTACGATGACGACGTTTGGAGTTTAGACCCTTGATATGCACCCAAATATAAGCTGGAGATTGAATAGATGTACAGTGCTGACGAATCTCAATAAGGACGAACATATCCTCGGCAAGAGGAATGAAATTTCCAAACATCCCCATACTATCAACAAGTCTACATTTGTGTCTACCTACCGTCGTGAGGCAGGTTTTCCTACTGGTCACGAGTTAAATGGAAGACAGCCATTGGTAAACTAGGAATGTTTCCCAAACGCTCCTCTGAGATTCCTGGGACTATCCAGAAAAACTGTCCCACCATTAACGAAAATATCATCCAAGAGTAGAGATCGCGCTTGCGAAACACCAAAAAGGCTAGCTGTCGCGATACAATTTCTATCCAGTAGATAACATTAGTTATGGTAATACTTGAAATATTTTATTTCTTTCGACAAAACTCCAATTGGTCATTATTCTCTTTCAACATACTGGTGAAGTACATGGTGCGAAATGGGCTGAGGTTTTGTGGTTTAGCTAATGAATATCACTCAATGAGACCTTTATAGTGAACAACCAGTAGGCAAAACAATAATTCTTACGAGCAGTCAGTAGAATTACCGTCGCTATCTCCTATTAACCTCTTAAATTCCTACAATTGCACGGGGGCTCAGGAAATCAACTAGAACTATACAACTAGGAGGAGGACGAGCTATTTGGGCCGATTTGTACTTTATCTTGGACAATGGATCAAAACACTTAACTGCTTGATAGAACACACTATCTCCTATTGAAAGAAAGGCAAACTGAGGTGGGTAACTCTAGTAGAAACGGACCCAAAACACCACACGACGTAATGTTGCCTTCTCATATAAATCTCTTACGAACAAGTTTAGCTATCTGTCTTTCACGAAATCATGAAGGAACTGGATTAGATTTCCATGAATGCTCTCTTTTGCAAACGATTTTGTGTTTGACAGGAGACTCAAGGGAATCCAACTGAATCTGTCGTCTACGGTGGTCTGCTTCATTGTTAAGTGGGAACCCCCAAATCAGACGACCAAAACAAGCCAAAATCGACCGCAGTAGTGGGCGGTACCTCTGACTGACAAATGTATATAAAATTCAACAAAAATAATACAACTACTCGATCAGTTAAAGTGCAGAATTCAAGCAAGCAGCAAGTGACCGATCTCATAAGAACCGCTGCTGGAAGTTAGAAGATAAATAACTAACAGTTTCAGGGCACTTCAACTCACCTTTGTTCCCGGTTTTGATTCGCATCAAATAGTTAGCCACGTGACTATCATCTTCATGACATATTATAAGTTGTTTTGGTTGGGGCAACAGGGCCATCTTCTGTGTCGGCCGTTTCTGACGTACGACTCCTCCACATGCTCGGATCAATTTCGCACAGATGTCTCGATGACACGCTCCAGGAGACAGCCAAAACTCTAGACCACCGAACAGACTTGCTTTGGGTCCAAGCATTTGACGCCGCTTGGCTCTCTGAAGGGATCGACTGAGGCAGACACCCAGTTGAGTTTCACCTTCTGGATCATTAAGAAGCCATGGTGTTTCGTCTGCGATGCAAAATGTAAGGGAAGCGATATTTATAGAGCCAGTCGGATCAAAACTAACTAAACTATTGAGTAGGCCCATGAGCAAGCAATTTTCGAAGGTAGTACAAATGCATACCTGACCCACACAAAATGTAATTGAACCAGTACGTTTACCAGAGTGGGTAGAGAAATAGTCTCTCCATGATTGCAACAACGAAACTGGAGGGGTTGAACAAAAACCCCATCACTCTATAAATGGGGTGATGCTTCAGCAGGAAGACACCAAGCACCTCTGCACAGCTGAATGGTTGATTAACTGTGACCATACTGGATGAATCAGCTCAAATCTCCGGACTA